AAATAATGAATAGTTAACATAATTATACGAATGCATATGGATCTTTATGTTTTTGGAATGAAGGTAAATCTTACAATTAAATTATTAATTTATATCAAAATGATACATTTCACTATAAATTATAAATAGTTTCATACTAATTTTGAACAAATTAATAAATAATAAAATTATTGGTTTATTATCTATAATTTAAATATTTGGTATATGAAAAAGCTATATAATAATAATTAATTTTTTCAAAATTATTTATCTATTTTAAATGCTCATCAGAATATTGATTGTTCTTCTTTTTTACAAAATTGTGTTCCAAAATCTTTAGAAGAATATATTAGTATCTCTGATTTATCAAATTTAGAAGAAAGTTGTAAGATAAATGCATGAAATAATAAATCTTTTGGACAGGAACTAATTGTGTATCCTATACATGTGAAAGTGCTCCTTTAGAATATATAAGTCATTAATGATTATAAAGAGGATTGCACAGTAAATAATAATACATTCAAAGCCTGTTAATATAGAACATTTAATAATGCTCCAACTACTGTAATAAGGCTTCTTTAAACAAATTAAGATTGCAATAAATATAAAGAAGTGTGTATTATAAAACTAGAAGGAGGATGTAAATAATTAGATGAATATAGTAACACAAACAATTGAAATTGAAATAGTTTGTGTTAGATAAATATGGAAGTAATTGTTTCTTTTATTGTGGTGAATATGCATTAAGGATTTGTGATAATGCTCCATTTTCGTTTAAAACCACCAATAATGTTAAGAATTTAACAAGCAATCTACAGAAGTTAGACAAAGATTGGATGTGTTAAAAGGACATTATAAATTCTAACATCCTAAAGGTCTTTGCTATTAAAAGAGTCATGTTAATGTTCCATTTGAATATGATATAGATTTGAAATGCAAGAATTATCTAAACAACACATGTAAAGATTGCAAACAGTGGATATGGATGCATAACAAGATCAAGTTAATGTAGCTAATTAATTCTTGAGGATTAATGTTATCTCACATAATGGTAAAATTATTGGATGATTTGAAGGAGCATGTTACAAACGAAGAATGTGATGATTATTTAAATGAGTTAATGATGAATTATTATCTAAATTACACAAATGCAAGTGAAAGAAATGAAGGTTGTATTCCTTTAGATTCTTGCACAACATATACAGCATAAATGATCTGTAGATATAATAATTTTAATTAGTTTTATTAATGGTTTTGAAATGCTTATTACAATAAATTATGTTCTACTGCTCTTTAAAATTCAAATTGTGAGGGTGAAGCCTATTTAACTGGATGTATTGTTACTTCGACTAATTCTTTTGGAGGATCATGCATTTAGTTTGGGATTTGTTTTAATAGAATTTGTGCAAATGCTCAAGTCTCTACCAATTATACATCCATAAAGAATGTTACACATATTTATAATTCTACGCTGTAGTATCTGCTGGAATTGGAGGTGTATGACATAGTTAAATACATTAAGATCATGTTAATTAGAATCAAATGGATATATAATTATTTTTAAAAGCTACTATGCTCATATGCTCTTATAATTGATCGATTTGAATCAGATGAAGAATGTAATACTTAGTTCTTGTACTGTTTTGAGGAAAATTCGTAATTTAGGTTGTACTTCTAAATTAAGTTTTAGTTAAGACCTTACATAATAATAATAATGTATCACTTATATTTGTAACAATATATGTACATTGGATACAACTCTAGCTACTCCTCATTTTAAAACTAGATCTTGCTCAAGAATATGCTTTTACATAATTAAATTGTAAAAATTGGTTACTAATATAGATAATTATGAACTATCAACTTTGCATGCTTATTGTACATGGAATGTTTTATCATGTATAATTAGAACTTGTACAACATCATAAGTATGACAAATTTTAATCAAACAGATTGTAATAATGCACAGCTGATGCTCCAACTAGTTATATTTAAGAAACTACTAATTTTGTTGACTATATTAATTATAATTAATGTTAAAAGAATTATTCAAATTATCCTTTTAATTTAGTAGATGCTGCAAGTACTCAAAAAACTTGCATAACAATATTTAATTAGACTTGTTGTAGTGTATTGTAATCATTATGTTTTGTTAATCCAAGAGCCACTGCCTTGTGAAACTACATTCGACTAATACTATTTTATTAATAAATATTTTTTATAAAATATAATGGTCATAATCAGAATTTAAAATGTACAAGAACCTATGCTAATTATAAAGGATCTACATTTACATCTTCTGATTTTAATACATGGCTTAGTAAATGTATTTTTGATGGAAGTCATTAATAAAACATGCACTAATCATGTCAAAAAATTCCGACCTTCAAAAGTTCTACTCGACAAACTTCGTTTAGGGAATACCCAAATGATGGGTCAACAAGTTAAGAGTGCTATAACTTGTACTAATAATGGGAATAAAGTTACTACATTTAAAAATACAATTGTACAAATGAGTTATCACATACGCATATACCAATACAGCTTGTACTCTAAGAACTTGTAGTAATTATGGATAAAATATTATATCTTTTACATATGATACATGTAATAATTGGTTATCACCCTGTATTGTCACTTGGGATAAATTAGGATGAGAAAAAAAACATGTATAAATTATGATTAATAAATACTATTGATAGGTTCAGCAAATATAGATGGAATAGCTTTTGAATCAACTAAGGCTTGTATAGCTTATAATACGCTGCTAATTGTACAAGTCATCTTGAATCATGTACATATATAAGTGGATCTTATAACATAAATTAAATTTGTTTATCGACATCAAGGAAAACAACTTCCAATCATTAAAATTGCTCAAAATTTTCTATAAATTATTTAAAAATGAAAAATTTAAACATTTTTATTTATAATTCTTCAAAACTTTAACAAAATTAAGCAATACTAGTATGATTGTGAATGGACGATGCTAAAATCATAAAGAGGAACGTAGAGATTCTACAAATGCAATTTGTGGAAATTGCATTATAACAATAAATCATACAAATTGTTCAAACTATTTAAATACATATACAAATTCTGGATGTACAAAATGCAGAGTTAGAACACATTAATTAACATCATAAAGTATTAAAGCGTTCAATCATTAAAAATATAGTGAATGGTATTTAGAATGTACAGCTAATTCAGAGGGAATTAGAGGTTAATTTAGAACATGTTACAATTAGAGAGATGATGTAACTACATTTACAGGATGTACTTGTTAAAAAAGGCTCGTGGTTGTAATGTAAATTCAACAAATGATGGATGTAAAGTATAAGCGAACGTACTTATACAAATTATGAATCTTATTTATAAGAGTAGAGTTTACTCAGTGATATAACTGCAGGAAATTTAAATATGATTATTGTAATACATGGTTACCTGGATGTATTGCAAACACTTCAGCAAATATTTGAGAGACTATAAACAATGGTGAAAATGCAGCATAAAATCTTATTATATTGGATCATTCTACTTGTTCTAGTTGGAACAGTTCTTGTGCTTGTGATAAAATAGGACTGGTTACATGGAATTTATATGTTTTTAAACCATTTTGAAAATATTACTTGTATTAATGCTTCCCTTACCTTATCGGTTACTTATTTTCAGAAGGTTCTTACATTCATACTTGCACAGTCATTAATACTAGTTAATGGCTGTGCAACAGAGACTTGTGATAAGGCATCTTTATCTCAATCTATTGACGTTAATTATAGCCAACCGTATTTATTATTTTTATATAAAAATTTTAGAGACAATAAATATTCATGGATTTCTTCATGTGAATTATGAATTGGATGCTTTAATAATTAATGTATTGTTAAGACTTACTAAGCAGTAGAGGGTCATTATCTGCTGCTTAAAATTGTTAAGATTATTTGGTTGAATTTTTTTATTCTGGAAATTAAGATAAAACCTTTTCTTGTACTTCTACAATAAAAATATATGCAAGGGCTGTTATAGCTCATGATAGCAGTTATGATATTGTTAGTATAACAGGATGTAATTAATGATTACCTGGATGTACTTATAGAAGCTATAGTAATTTTGGTTGTGAACTTAGATCATGCTCTAAATACGTAAATGCAAATCTATCAAATTCAACCTCTGAAACATAATACCGTGATTGGTTATGAAATAGTCTAATATAATGTAAATTATATCTTTTGAGAAGTTCTGCTCAAACTTTTTTTAATCTTCACCTTCCTTTTACTAATTCGTTTAGCTAGGAATGTTCTGCAAAATCAATTCACATTTAAAAATTGTGAAAATAAAATTGTACAAATTAGCAATTAACTAATTACGTTAATGACTTGAATTGTCTACTTTGGTGGCATAATTGTTCTGCAAAAACTGTATATCAAGTAAGATATACTAATGTAGAATGAAGATAAACATTATAAAATTAACCTAAATACTTTTATTATTTATTTAAAGTAAATTTTAATAATAATAAGATTCTAAGTTCAAACTACGCAATTAGTTTTGCTATATTTATTTTTGAAAATTGTTAAAATGGAACACATGTGTTCTGTTAATAGCAATAATATAAATTTTGAGAAAAGGACTTGTTTGAACCAGATAAAACAGGTTATAAATATTCAATGAATTTTTTTTAGCAAAAATACTCATCTAGCGCTTATTAAAATTGGTTTTCTACATGTATAAATTATAAGACATAGTGTTAAGCTGAGATAACTAGATTGGCATAATTAATGATACAGAATTAGATTAAAGAATTAAACGGAATTCATAAAATTTAATATTTAAAGTAATTTTTTTATTTTTTATTGTAATAATGGTTAATCTTATCTTTCCTATCATTATAAATTTAGCTAATTATTAAAATTGGTTATCTTATTATAGAGTTAATTCTGCAGGAACAGCTTGTATTATTAATCATTTATACAGTAATTATGGAATAGACAAATAATGGATATATTAATAAGGCTTGTTTACTAATTTAACTTTTTTTAATCATCTAACATGAGGATAATGGTTAAAAACTTGTAAAGTTAATTCAACAAATATTTGTGAAATAAAAACTTGTAATAATTATGGTAATCAATTAACAAGCTTTAATATTTCAATCTCTTCTTATTGGTAGAGAAGGTTAAAGCAAAGACAAAATTAGAGAAAAATTGGAAAAATCAGATAATAATATTGATAAGATTTTCTAAAGAAAAAAATACTTAATAAATAGTGTCTATTTTTTCATTAATAGTCTATAGTCTATAGATGATATACAATGTTAAATTTAGATTATTTAAAGAATTCTTTATAAATATAAATTTGTTAAACTAAAACATGAAAGGAAATGTATGAGACATGGAAATAATTTGATAATGGGGCAAAATAAACCTCCTGTATATTAATTCAAAATGGCAAACACAAGGTACTAGTAATTGAAATAATAATCAGATAATAGAAAACTTGTATTAAATAATGTTTGATCAATAATAATTAATTTAAATGTTTATTAAGGAAGTAAATAATTAGTTCGTTTTTATTCTGGATTGTTATATGCATTCTCAAATGTGAATAAAATTGGTCAAGAGTTCCCTTCTTTAGTAGTCAATATCTAAAGTTTGTACTTATTGTAATCTCTCTCCTTACATAAAACACTTAGAGATTAAAATCACAAAAAAATTAGTATTTTTATTTTAAAGTACAGAATAATATCCTTTATCATCCAATTCCTCTTAAAATATTCGTAGCCAAAGATGAAGATAGTTTCATAAAAAATGGGTTTGTGTTTTCTAATGCATTGAACATGTTTAAAATGTTTAGTTTAGTCTACTATTTTGAAAGGTAGAAAGTACTTAAAGAATCAAGCTAGAAGCAGGCAATCTAATAAATATTTCAGAATATTAGTCTATTGTTAAGAGCAACAAGTTTAATTAATAATGAACTTATTAATGAAAATTTAATGCTTGCATTAGAAAGCACTATAAATATTGAAAGTATAGTATTATTTGATTAAAAGAATATAGATTATTACTTTAAAACCTAAATAATTTATCTATTAACTTTTGGAAATGAAATCAAAATTAAACTCTTGATTTAATTTGAGACAATTTTCGTCCGCAATTTCATGCTTGATGAAAGACATTAATTAACAATGAACAAAAGTCTTAAAGAGAAAAATTCAAAAAGCTCTATGTAACATATTTATATAAATTCATATTTGTTTTAAGTGATTAAAATGAGGTCACTTTACTATTTTCTATTTATAATTGTTATGAGAGCAAAATTGATTAATAATTAATAAGTT